CGTACAGGAGCGCTGATATTACCTCAGTGTTCATTACTCTTTTGTTTGTTTTTTTAACGATATTTCTATGTTTCTGAGTACTTTACTCAGATTTTGGATCTCAGTCTTGCACATCTAGACCTCTGTTAAAACACTTCCCATATGTTCAAATTGTTGTACTTGCTTGACTGTGGTCTCTCCAGCCATACATTCTGTCGTCTTGTAAAAGATGTTTGGTCCTTTCTTCTCTCTTCTTTTAGTTTCCGGTGCCTGCTAACAACATTGTATCATCTGCATATCTTATGTTATTAATTTTGTGGCTGCCAATAATGAATCCTGGTAGGACTTCTAGTTCTCTTCTCTGCCATAAAAGTCTTTCCTAACGCCAGAGTAAAGCCGTGTCAATATCAAGTATCCTTGTCGTGGTGTGAGTAACTAGCAAAATCACATAACAGACCAGAGTTCTGAGTTCGATCCCCAGTGGGTGACCGACGCATGTAAGATTTTATCGCTCTATGGTTATCAGCAAGACGAACAGGCCAGCACGTATCTATAGCACGTTCTACAGTGAGAGGATTTCGACCTTTCGTCTGTGAGAGTCTTTCTGCTGTAGATTGAAATTTATAAAATCCTTTTCTTAACGCAGTTTTCCAGGATTATTCAATTTCACTCATTGTTTTTTCTAGCACCAATAATATAGTGTGACCCAAAAAAACAGGAATTTTTGAATTGCGTATTGCCAGACATGAGCAAGTGGCAACACTACGAGACAGTGACCTTGAGCAAGTAAACATTTCGCCATTTAGAATTCAAGATGAAATTTACAGTATCCCAACTGAGATGTTGCAGCAGTCAATGAGGAATCTCAGCAGCAGATTTCAAGAATGCATTTGTACTGGTGGACGCCATCTACAGGACGTAATTTAAAAAAAAAATAAAAAAAATTCCTTCATTGTTTCTTAAATGACATGTTTTAAGGTTTCAATTACTATGAATAAAATATTTTTCTTCCATCACTCTTGGTTTTATTGGATTGTTAAAATGTTTTTTTTTTTGGTGGGGGGGGTCACCCTGTATTTGAGTTAGAACTTTTGGAGATGTCGAAAGTAAGCAAGTAAAAGAATTTAAATATCTGGGATTTGTTTTCATGGAGGACGTAAATGTGACACCGAGAAACGAAGCAAATATTGCCTCCAGTTCTAAGAAAAGTATAAAGAAACGAGAAAACTTCAAAAAAGACACAGAAAAAAAAAACCCCTGTTAAACAGCTATACAATATAAATCCTCCGATAGAACAAAGAAAGCTGAACAATTTTCTCAGAGATGAAGAAGAGTCTTGAGACAACAGAAGGATGTTGAGAATACAATGGAGCGTGAATGTGACCAACGAGGAAATGGGGAAAAAAAAGAACACTATTATTTAGGATCAAAAAGATAGTGTTGGATTTTTTCTAACACCTAATGAGGAAAGAAGGTTTGGAAAATTTAACACCCACAAGATATTTTAGTGGCAAGAGAGGCCGACAGAAACGGATTTATTGAAGTTTTGTAAATGGGTGAGAGGGCAGGCAATGAGAGATGTGGCAAAAATACAAACATTGCTAACAGCTGCAAAAGTTGTGGAAAACCTCGATCTGAAGTGACATGGTATATAGAAGAAAAAGAAGGTATCTTAATAGTTAAGGTACCTTAAAAGTTAAGGTAACTTAACTATTAAGGCTGATATGATCGGCTGGTTGATTTTTCGAAACTAACTCTTGCGAGTTATTTAAAGTATTTTTGTATTAGGTACGCAATGAGGGTTGAATCAGGAGTGAAACATTCGGCAATCATTGGCTGAATTCTTAGTAATTTGCTGTAGATTGGAATTGATAAAATCCTTTTTTTAACGCAGTTTTCCAGGATTATTCAATTTCACTCTTTGCTTTTTCTAGCACTAATGGGATTTTTCTTTCAAACCTTCGATTTAGTAACAACTTTATTATATCGTTATTTTCTCTTATAGCTGCATGTGCTACCAATTTTGATTGGACGTATTCAAGTAACTATGGGTTTTTGTATTTGATAAAGGTCTTTGTGTTATTTGAGTATCAGTTTATGATATCTGGTGAAGGAGCGATCATCTTCTTTGGAAGATAAAAGAACCAGTGGTTTGAAGCCATTTTTAATCATACATATGAGAAAATAGTTGCATACAGATCATAGTTTAGACATTTCCGGTTCTACAGAGCAGTGGTTGGCAGAATGAAGATCCTCGAATGGAACTTACTTCTCACCAATGGAACACGGTAGAAATCAGAGTAGTTTGCTATAATACGCGTAGCATGACGCGGAAGTTAAAACTGGTGTAGCTAAAAAATAAAGTTCATCTGAGCACTTTCCTCGAAAGTAGCGATAGAGACAGTGAGAAGCTTTCGACCTTTCGTCTGTGAGAGGCTTTCGATGTTTCGTCTGTGAGAGAGGAGTTGTAGGTTGGAAGATAATTACTGGCATCTCGTATGTAGTCCCTCTCTCACAGACGTGCCGTTGCCTCCCTCTGTCTTTTTTACAAATACTTTCACGGTAACTGCTCCGATGAGCTGCTTTTCGCTGGTTCATGAATTTAAGCGTTCAACCAGGCTGTCATCTCGCTCTCACCCTTTCACTGTCGAAACTTTTAAATGTAACCGTCTCTTCTACTCCAATAGCTTCATGTCTCGCACGTCTCGCCTGTGTAACTCCCTCCCCTTTTCCTGTTTCCCTGATAGCTATAATCTCCAACTATTTACATGTAATGTCAATCGACGTCTCCAGATACTTTAATCTATCCCCTATCCTTCTCTTCATCCTTTCCTCTATCACTCCTCTTTGCTCTCGATGCAACTCTCTGTAACCCATTGAGTGCTAGTGGCTTCCCGCCTTGCTTGGGGTGAAACGCTTAAAAAAAACCGGATTCGACCATTTTTGCTGCATCTTTAGCGATGGATGGAATGTACGAGTTCCACTTCGTATATATTTATTTTAAGGTCTGGATTGAGTTTAAGACCGCGTAGGCACAAAGTCTTTAAATAGTGGAGGAATCTCATTATTTAGATCTGTTGAAGGGCTATTAATATTGTCTGACTAGAAACGTCTTTGTGGCAACATTGTTATATTTCTGGTTATTATATTTTCTAACAACTCATCTAAACAATATCTCTTCCGATCTAGCACTATCTTCCCAGCGGGGTTAAAAAAAATGGCTGGTGACATTCAATACCTCTAAAACCAAACTGATTACATTCCATCACAGGCTGATCAGACCCCGAACTATAGCCTGTCACGTTGAACGGATGTCTCCTCGAAGAGGCAGCGTGCCTTGAAAAGATATTGGGCCACAAAATCACATCCGACCTCGTAGAATTCCTATATACGATCCATCGCTAAAGATGCAGATAAAATCATCAGCTTCCTGTACCGCTCGAGCATGTATCTGACTCCTATCCTCTAACTTTATAAGAGCTAGACCAGCCCCCAAATGGAGTACTGTTTCCATATTTGGGTAGAAGCTCGCCAGACTAAATTTTCCAATTTTGATATAGATCAAAAGTATCTTCGATCACTTATTTTCCACGCTCCAGACACTCTCTCACAAGCGGGATGTGGCGAGTCTTACTGCTCGGACGAACTATATTTCCTGGTTTCACCAGATTTGATGTTCACGGGTAAGACCCACCATGCCACTTACATACCTTCAAACGACCTACATTGCCTCCGTATTCCCGTATTCCATCGCCGAGAAGTAAGTTCCACTCAAACAGCTTCTTCCCGTGAACCGCTGCTCTATGGGACAGACAATCAAGAGGATGTTTCTCCGATCACTACAATCTTAACCTGTTCATGTCTAGAGTTAAGCCTTATCTTCCCATTTTATTTATATAAACTACCCCTTAACGTAAGCCTCTACTTCGTGTGGCGCCCGGGCCTTGTACAAAGTGAGCCTTACTGTAAAAAAAAAAATATCAGAAATATTATAACCTTTTCTGTTTCTGACTTCCGTAATGCGAAAGTCAGAAACATGTTTCGACCGGGTGTCATTCGCTTACCCAAATCTACCCCCTCAACCACAACACAAACAGTAACGGATTTTCTCCCATCCTTCCCATTTGGTCTCTACCCAACAACCGCACCTCAGTTAGAAAGTTGGCCCCTTTCCAAAAGGATGTACGAATTGCTCAGATCAAGCACGCTTACACAAGGTTTTATGTACATATATTTACAAATGTGTATCTGGTATGAATAACCGTCATTGGGTGTATGTAAGGAAGGGCAGAGGGGGGTTAACGTGGAAGGGAGGGAAGCGGTTATGAGAAGAATATTAAAATAGGAAATGCTCAAGATAGTGAGGAATTCGTTAGAGAAAGAGGAAGAACACAAGGGCAACAGAAGGAGATGAGGAGAGATGGAACGTGGATGCTGAGAAAAAATGGTGAAGAGTTGAAGAGGAAAAGACGAAACGGTTAAGAATGAGAAAAAGAAGAAATAATTGAAAGGAGGAAGAAAGGAAAACAGAAGTGAAAATTCTTAGGATGAAAAAGAAAACGATGAAGAAGAAAAAGAAGAAGAAAAAGACGGGGATGAATATTAAACAGAAATGGGTAGAGGAAAAAGCTTTGAAGACAGAAAAAGATAAAAGGAAAAGCAGAAACATACTAAGAATTAAGAAGAAGGAGAAATAAAAGAAAGATAAAGGAGAAGTGTCAGAGGAGAAGAAGAAAAAGAACAAGTAATTTGAGTAAAGAAAGGAGAGAAAATTTTTTAAGATAAAGATGGAAAAGCTAGATGAGTAGAAGGAGGAGAAATGAAAAGCAGAAGACGAGTAAAGGTTGCGAAGAGGAGGAAACGACTAGAAGAAGAAGAAAAAGAAGAAGAAGGAAGAGGATAAGGAGAAGAAGGTTGTAGTGGAGGAGGAGAACAAGACAAAAAAAGAAAACAACAACAAAATAAGAAAAGAAAGAACATGCCAACAAGAAGAAATGATTCGATGAAAGAAAAGCAAGAAAATGCTTTAAATAAAGGAGTTGGAGGTACAGGAGTAGGCGGAGGAGAAAAAATAATCAAAGGAGTGAGAAGAAGCTGACAAGGACAAGGAAACAGCAAGAAGAAGAAGAAGAAGAATGATTTATATAAATAAAAAGTTGAGAGAGAAGAGAAAATGTTTGAAATAAAATAGGAGGAGGAAAATGAGAAAATAGAAAGGGAAAAAGAAATGTCGGGCGACAAAGAAACAGTTAAATGATAATTCGATGATACTGATGGTGATGAAGTAGAATTAGTCGAAATGCCAAATGCAGGAGAATATAGAATGAAGGAAATGAAAAAGGTTAAATACATGGAGGAAGAAGGGGAGAAGAAGAAGTCATATAAGCTCTCCAAAACAGAGTTATTAGATGGTAGAAAGAAAGAAAGAAAGAAAGAAAGAAAGAATTACTAAAGAAAGAAAAGAGAAAAAAAAGAATTAAGAAAGAAAGAAAAAAGAATAAAGAAAGAAAAAGAATTAAGAAAGAAAGAAAACAAGAAAGAAAAAAGAATTACTAAAGAAAGAAAAGAGAAAGAAAGAATTAAGAAAGAAAAAAAGAATTAAGAATGAAAAAAGAATTAATAAAGAAAGAAAGAAAAGAGAAAACAAGAAAAAGAAAGAAAGAAAGAAAGAAAGAAAAAGAATTAAGAAAGAAAGAAAGCAAGAAAGAAAAAATAATTACTAAAGAAAGAAAGAAAGAAAGAAAAAAATAATTAATAAAGAAAGAAAGAAAAAGAAAGAAAGAAAGAAGGATAAATGAAAAAGAAAGCTAACCGGCAAATAGGAGAAACATTATTAAATTAAAGAAGAAAGATAAGAGAAGGTGGGAAAAAAGACAAAGATTAAAACGAAATGTTGGAAGACAAAGAAATGGAAATGAAGAAGAAGAAGAAGAAGAATGATTTACATAAATATAAGATCAAACAGTAGAAAAAATGTTTGAAATAAAAAAAGGAGGAGGAACAAAGATAAAATAGAAGAGGAAGAAGAAGAAAGGAAGGAAGGTAAAGAAACATTTAAATGGTAATGCGATGATTGTGATGATGATGAAGGAGAATTGGTTGAAGTGTCAAATGCAGGAGAAAATTGTTGGAATGAAGGAAGTGAAAAAGGTTAATCAAATGGAGAAAAAAAGAGAGGACAAGAAAGCAAAAAAGAAATGCTTAAAATGAACAAGCGAAAAAGAAAAAAGATGAAGAAGCATAAATTTACACAGAAGGAGGGTGGAAAGACTGAGGAAAAGGGTTTAGATGAGGAGTATGAGAAGAAGGATGGCTGAAAAAGAAGATGCAATGGAGGAAAAGACAAGTACAATAGAAAATACGTAAAATGAAAGATGTAGAAAAGGTTAATATGGAAGGAGAAGGCGGATAGGGCGGCAAACAAACGCTTCAAAGAATAAAACGGTAGAAAGAAAGAAAAGAGGAAAGAAGAAAAAAAAGGAGGAAGATAAAAGATGCTTGCCTTGGCTGTCCAGTATAAACAAAAAGGAAAGAGAAGGTCGAAATGGCGCGAAGCGAGATGCGGAATGTTGTAAAGGTCTGTGAAGAATCCTTGTCCAGTTTGAAAGGGATTCTCATTTCCTGGTGTTGGCGGTCAGCAGATGCACTTGTTCGATCCACTCAAGATGAGGAAACGACAACAACAGCAAAATAACTTTAGTTCACGACTGATGTCGACTTTATCAGGAATATAAATCATCATAAGTCTCTGGCGAAAAGTGCCGCTGTAAAACTTCCTATAGTTTTCGACCAATCTGATAGCCAGTGTCGATTGCATTCCCTTCATGGACACGGTACCAACAAAACACGTCAGAGAACACGTGAATATTCGTTAAATGATGATAAAAAAAAAGACCTGAAAGAAAAGAAAGAATTTCCTATTGTAATTCAATGTGCGTGGACACAATACGATTTTCCAATTCCAGAGAGAAGCTTTCTTCCGATGATAAACAAGATGGCTCTTAAATTACAAACAATTCGTGAAGCCCGCTGGTGTAGGTTACTGTCTAGCGAGCTTGCCCGGCTGAGCATTACTTCTGACTCAGAAGTTCGATTTGATGCGGGTGCATTATTGGAACTGTTTCAGTTTGCTTCATTGCCTTTGTCCTTTTTTTCCAAAAACAAATACAGGGTGCGATGGATAAATTGTCGTCCAAATGACTATGGATAAATTGTCGCCTAAATTACACCAAAATGAAAATAACAATACAATTTTAAGGGATATATTTACCAAAATTACACAAAAAATATCTTGAAATAGTAAAGAGTAAATTTGTTCAATATAATCTCCATTGGCTACAACACCGGCCTTCAGAGGACTTCGGAATCTCCTGCATCTCTTCTGGACGCTCTCCTTGTTTAAGTTGGTGAATGCTGTCATAATCCTTGCTTTCGGTTCATCTTTGTTGTTACAAGAAGTTTTGTTGGCTTCTCTCTCAACTCTGCCCGACACATTATAATCAAAGGTGTTGCAGTCTAGGTGATTAGGTGGCCAGATGTAAGTGGTGATGCGGTCGTAGAGTGTCTGACAACCATGACTAGGTTCTTTTACTTGTGTAGCATGATGCAGAGTTCTGGGGCTAGAAGCCACCCTCTTGACCCAGGGTGTCACTAACACTTCAAGTCATTTAATGTAGGCATCTCTGTTAAGTCCGAGGTTCTCATAAACAAATTTGGTAGTCCTTTTCTTATCCAAAAGGTCAGAGAGAATTTTCCGAGCTCCCATACCTTCGTAATCATCATTTAACCCATTCAACTCTTCCCACACTGTCCCCATATTGACACCCAAACACTCTGAAATGTTCGTATTGGAGCTTCCGAGCAGTACAGTATGCTGTTTTCAAATTTCTGGCAGCGTAAATTGCGTCTTTTTCTCACAGATGGTGACCAACTGATCCTACTATAGTGTTCAGTCGACAAAATGAAAAATATAGAACGCGCATGCGCAAAATTAAAAGTATAGAATGGCGATAATTTACCCATCGCGCCCTGTCCTTCCGTTTCTATGTAATATAAGAAAATAATACTGTTAAAAATACATATTTTTATTCAATCTTGTTTCTTGTTAATAATAACAAATTTTATGGAAACTGGATACTTGATTGAACAGTGTTTTGTTAATTTGTATCGAATTTCTGAAATGTCGTTTTTTGTCATTATACTGCCAAATTTCAAATGATCTAAAATTTTGAGTATTGAGAATGTATGAACTTAAAAAAAGTGTTTGCGTAATTATAGCTTTATTTATTAAAATTTAAATAATCTCTCCATGTAAAAAGTGAAAATGTGATATTTGTAAAATCGAGAGGACAGATGAAGATACGATCACCATCTTTTTTTTTTTCGTCTGTATTTCAACCATTTTCTTTACTGTTTGACATTTTTTTTTCTTTCATTCTTTCCAGCATTTTGTCCTTTAAAGCATTTATTTGCGTTATCGTCCTTCTTTCCCGGGTTTGTTCAATCGTTTTTACTTACAGAAATCTACGAAGTGTAGGTTAGATCTAGCACAAGAACGAAAGTATGAAGCAACCAGTTGAACTGACTGCTCAGTCGTAATTGGTGTAGCGAGACAAGCTTACTAAACATTAGACCATGTCGAAGTGTCTATCTATAATTTAATAAGCATAGCTTATGTCTGATCGAATACAGCAAGCTCCCAGCGAGGTTCACACTTACTACTCAGTCGTAATTCATCTAGTGAGATATCGTGCTAACTATTACACCAAGTCGAAGTGCCTCAGCGGTTTAAAAAAAAAAAAAAAAACTGTAGAAATGACTAAACAAAAAAGTTTTGCAAATAGCTTATGAGGCACGGTGGAGTAATGGATAGCGGCTCGGACTGAGGAATAGGAGAGCTGAGTTCGAATTCATTACATTCATTTACGTCCTTGAGAAAGGTATAGATCCACTTCTCCTTTAGCTACGGGCAAATAGCAGGACTGACCGGGTTCTATATCCTTGGATATACTGGTCTACTCCAGAAAGAAATGGCAACCTACTGCGGAAAAAATCGTCAGTCATGTATCGAAAGATACATGATCGCCTAAGCGTGTATCACGCATGGCACATAACTAACTGAAATAGCTTATGAAAAGCGAAACAGCTCAGAAGGCGATGAGAAATAGTTTTTCCTTTTCCATAGAGTAATGGTTAACAAGCTCGTCATGCGGGTAATTATTACTAATTAGTGAATCTGTCGCTCTATGAGTGCTTCATTTTTGTGGCGTTGTGCTAAAACTAAGCTACGTTGATTATATAGGGATAAAAGAAAAGGGAATGTCAGGTTCATGCTTTCAAATAAGAAGAGATAAAGGGTTCAGTTCGAAATTCTAACCACCTGAAGAAGGCCGGAGCATACAACGGCCAAATCGTTGTGACAAATATGGCGACAAAGATGAGGACAATAGTTCGACTGATGTAAATACTGTACATAATACCTCATCTCAGAAATATAGACAGACAACTGATACTGCAGTAGACCAGTCGCCATCCAAGGCTATAGAACCCGGTCTGTCCTGCTATTTGCCCATAGCTGGGGCGGGGGGAGAAGAAGAGGATCCATAACTTTCTCAGGGGTATTAGCATGTAAGTGAATGTAATGATTTCGGACTCGGATCTCCAAAAATACCCGTAGAAGAAACGGATTCATGTATTTGTCAGGAGCAGCAGCGGCGAGAGAAGCAGACAGCTGTCACAAATGGGCCGGTCCTCGAAACTCGAGGGGCTTCAAGAAAATGCCTTTAGTGCTTTGCGGAGGGGGGGGGCTTCTTTACAAAAAGTAGAGACCAAAATTACGAGTCAGTATATTATTGGAAAAAATACGAAGACTAAAACTAGTTCCAAAGTAACTTAAAAAAGCATTTTTCGAACTTTCATGAAGCAAAATGCACCATTAGTTCCTCAAAGTCTAATTCTCGTGCCAAATCGCATTCGAACGCAAGGGTTGCCAAGTAAGATACGCTCTTTAAACTGTCTTGTAAGAGACGCTAGATCGAGGTTGTTTGTTCGAGCATCTCCTTTTCCGACCGGAGCGCCTCAAAATAATCTGAGTGTCGGACCTCAGAAATTCTGTTATAGAGGAATAAAGTGTCGCTGCCGACACTTGAGTTTGAACATAGATCGCCACTGAACAAACTCAGGCGATCTGATTATTGCATTAAGGGAATCACGTGACCACAGAGGAAACACATACATAGGATGTCGCGTGATGTCTAGATTGATCGATTTTTTGACTATACTGATTACTATTCGGATCGCTATTTCTACTCTATCCTCTATTACTATAGGGGCCGCTATTCTTTACTCTATTCCCTATACTGTTTCTCTATTCGGATCACTACACGGATTACTGTTCGAGTGAGTATTATCGAGCAAGTGCTATTAGTGCGAGTGATATTCGAAGGTGTCTGACACCAGTATTGTTCAGTGGCGTTGTATCTGCGATTACAAAGTCTCTACTACAATGAGCATTACGAAAGTGACAACGTGTATTCCTTGACATAACAAAAAATTCTCTCCCCGGTACTGGTCAGGGGAATCGTGGGCAGTAAACGCAAACGGCTTCTATCACACACACACACACACACACACACATATATATATATATATATATATATATATATATATATATATATATATATATATAATAAAAAAGGCTTAAACACTAATATTATATTAATCCAAGCAACCAGAATTTAAGAAGAAAAATTTTAAATACGCATGTAAATTATTATTTTTTACGGTTTGTCAACCTTTTATATGTTATTTAAAGCTATAAAATATTTTTAGTGTGTAAGAATGTTTTTGGTCATATGATTTACTGCGGAAAAGTCACAGTGGAGGAATCGGAGAGCAGAGTTCGAACCCCAGTCCAGTTTGTTTTTTTTAACTTAACTTTAGAAAGGTATGAATTCATATCTTCGAATCTTTTCATTTGAACCCACTACTTAAAATAACGACCAGCATTCATATTTATGATATTGTAATATTTTTTGCTCAAATATCTAATAAGGAAATAGCGCGATTTCGACGGATATTTTATTGTCGTAGAACTTGCCATGAGATTACCGAGAACTTGACATAAGAATTAAGATTCATCAGCAATGTCAAATAACAAAACCATGAAAGATGTGAAATTTTCACGAGTTAAACTGGTGAGTAATAAGTACCGTTATCTTTCGTGTCATACTATACAGAGAGAAGGGAGGTAAATCGAGTAAAGTCAGTAAATCTATGAGTCAGTTTAATAGTCGATACAATTAATACATATGGAAACGGACCCTTTTGGACCATGAGAGTAGAGTTCGAATCTCACTAGGGTCGATTTGCCTGGAATATGACTATCGGACTGGAATGGTGGTCCCAGCGTACGCTACCTCTGGAAATCCCCTGAAAACCATAGCACGTGCTGATCCAAGCCTATGTGGGAGTCGTCGACGGTTGTGCTAGCGCGAAATCACGAGTCATCGTGACCGACGGTTTGACGGTACTGGCCTGATTCAGATCTTTGATCACGGCAGATAATACGTGCTATCCCAGAAAAATGTGACTATGGTCCACCTAGAATAGTTGCGGTATATAACAGCAGGTGCGCACTGAAGAAAGTAAAACGTGTCTGAGCAGGAGTCTGCCACAGGGATTGACTAACGGCCTATTTATCTTTGTTTAGACAGAATGACTTTCAGGTTAAAATGTACCGTTCAATTAACCTCTACATCAACGTTTCCGATCATCCTTCTTTTTTTTTCTTTTTTTTTTTTGCGAGGCACTCGGATA